AGACTCCCCATCAGTTCATGACCCTTTCCAAGGTCAACGAAGCCTACAAGCTTGTGTTTGCCACCTACAGAGGTCATCTCTAGGTTCTCCTGTAAGTTTAATTAGGTAATCAGTATTAGTGCTATGTAAGTAAGTAATGTACTTGGGAATGCAAATATTGAACTGTTTTTCTTTGTTAAAAAAAAAAAAAACTAAAAATCCTCCCAGGACACATGTCAAGTGAGTAGTATACTTAATTATGTTTTTGAAATGAAATGTACTTGTCTATCGAAAAATAGTGACGGCAGAAGGTATTTGATTTAACTTAAAAGCATATTCACTGCCTTAATGGTGAACATTTCTTTTTCAACATGAGTGTTATGCTGGATACTTTTCATTAGTATGTCTTCCACATTTTTTAAAATTCACCTGAATCTTCATCTCGTCAATTCCAAATCCTCCCAAGTAATCTCCTGGTTTCAAACCACTTTCTTCAGCAGCATTCAGGCACCATCTAAGGATTTCATCATTCCACCCTGGGATCTCTTTGACTTTGTTCTTATAAATTCTGTAAATATAGACCAATTATCATACATCTCAATAATGTTGCTGTTTTATTGCACACAATATGGAAAAGGGACAGGGCGAAATTATTTTTGACGATATTTAATAAGTACTTTTCCCAATATCTTTATAATATCATGAAGTGCCCTTGTAGTTTACCTTACCTTATTGTTTTATTGCTTGGAAGTATTATGAACTGTCGAAGGGGATCTAGTACATGCGGGTTCTTGCAGTAAAGATCCAGGCATAATTTCATGACTCTATAAATAAATGTGAATGAACTTTTATGTCATAGAATACACATGGTTATGTTGAATTAAGAGCTTGGTGTTTGAGGTGTGAAGGGGAGGGGGGTAGGGATGAGTTTTGTAGGACATGGACATAGTTATTATTTTAATTTTTGCCATCTATAAATGAGTAATTCACATCGCTTACTTCGGATGCCAGCGATATGCCTTTTCACTTTTGCATCGCAAGAGTTGTTGCTGTTGTTCCCACAGGCTCTCCATGTTTCCAGGAACGTTACTTGCAGCTTTATCGAACATCGCTGTGAGATCGGTATGGTCTTCATCATCAATCTCCAGGCACTCTGCCTCAAACTTTTCCCTCCAATACTTTTCCCTTTTTTCTGCATTTAGCCGTGCTTGCCTCTCTTGTTGAAGGTGCTTGCTTACTTCGGCTTTGGAGAGGAAAG